AGAATTATTATATTCCATTTAATTCTATGGTTATGCATATGCTCAGGATAGGCCAATTATGATGATGAATACAAAACTCAGTTGTGTTTGTCTGTTTTCATATTCCTGCAGGTACGTGCCAGTGCCATAGCCCAGGATGCTGACCAAAATTATGACTATGCCAGTAACAGCGCCGTATTGCATCTGGAGCCAGGAGACGAGATCTACATCAAACTAGATGGAGGCAAAGCTCATGGAGGCAACAACAACAAGTACAGCACCTTCTCTGGATTTATCATTTATGTTGATTAGATGCTGGCTTTACACACAACAGTTGTCATAACGTTACTTTGCTGGTGAAACAGAAAATATAATTCTCTCTCTGTAAACTAAATCTTCTGAATTTTGAAGATAAATTGTTAAAACTCTTCATTTTAGTTGCTTTTGTGTTTTAAAAGATAGTTGTGTTGATGTAGAAAAAATCTGAAACATGCAGGGCAGAGAACACTGAAGTCCAGTACTGGAAAACACTGAGATAACATTACTGTCAGTCCTATGATTTGACATGCTTTTTAGCAAATATGTAAAAGAAATGAGTTGTAAACAATAATTCAAATTTAAATCAATTATTAAGATACAAAGTAAAATATATCACTGTCCCCTAAACAAGGTGTGTTACCAAAAAAACAATGTACATATTGTTTCAGCTGCTAGAATGTTTGTACAAAGTACAAGTTGAAAGAAATGCTGGTAGAACTTCACAATAATTTGACATGACATATCAATTAATGAGGAACTAATCATCAACTGTCTGATGTTTCTCAAATCAGATCTATTTTGTTGTCTTTTTCTTTATGCAAACTAAAAGAAATTTCTCTGTGATCTCTAAGTATAAACATATAAGTATGGGGAAAACATACAAATAATTAAAACAGTTAAGATGTCTAAGTGCAACAAGTGAGATAGATAATCTTAGCATTAAGTTCAGCTATTTAGAAAGATGTCTGGCGGTCTGATGAGGGCTTTGAGGAATATGATGAAACTCACAACGTTGTTCCTGCAGCCACTCTCAAACAGAGAGGAGGGGCACGCCTTAGCTCCCCTCACTGTCCTCTGCAGGACAGAGGAATGTCTGTGGTACTGCAGCTGCTGAATGACTTTGATGTTCAGTTTCTGTCAGGCTCTGCTGGTTGATTTAATCCCAGCATTGTTTTTTTTTTTTTTTTTAATTAGAACAGGTAATCAAAGGTCTTCACTCTGCTGAACTTTCTGCTAACACTCAATGACTCGATGCAGTTTACTGGGTTTCCATAGATAGATAGATAGATTGATAGATTGATTGATTGATTGATTGATTGATTGATTGAACTTACCTGCACTGACAGCTGGGAGAGGATGTACTTGACTTGGAATCTGTCAATAATTGCATTAACCCTCTTGAGACAATTGTTCTGTCACTATATAAATTAACTAAATTGGAATTAAATGAATTAACAACTCTATACTGAGGGTCGTGTGCTGAGGTCAAGACCTCCTGAAGTTTATGGTAATCTCCTATGCTGTCCAATGATTGACTTCCTTTTTGTCCATCATCATGTCTGAAATGATTCCTCCGACTGGAATATCATCAGCAAATTTTGTTATCAGGCTTTTCTCATCTGTGATTGCACAGGACTGTGTGGTCAGCAGTGGATCGAGTCCACACTCTTGAATGAATCTGATGCTAAGTGAGGTGGAGTTGGGGACACTCTAATCAATGTGTAGCATCTGTGGAGTCTCATTCATAAAGTTCAGAATCCACAGGCATGTGGCAGTGTTCAGAAAGACTAGGAGAACTCTCACAGAGTATTGTATTAAATGCTGAGATGAAATGACTATTCCAGATTCTGTAGTAGCTGTCTTTATTCTCCTAACGAGTCCGTACTTTGTATTAGGAGGCTGGGTGCTTCCTGCTTAGAGTTGTTTGGTTGGTACAGATGTATTAATGTAGAAAGACATAAGTTTTGCCTTTAGTTGGTAGAATGGCCAACTTTTTATAATAAGAAATTTTACCATCGGAGAACAGTGTTTAATTTCATCAGCAAAGACATCTGCAACTCTGTTCACCTGGAACAATGTTGTTGACTTCCACTGTATAGTTGCATTAAAGGGGCAGTATTATGTAAAATCGACTTTTTTGATGTTTACATGATGTTATAATGTTATTCCCTCATCAAAAACATACCAGGAATTTTACCTTGATTTTTCCATGCATGCTTGAGAAATTCTTGAACCATTCAGCTCTGTAAAACGCTTGGTGCCCCGAGGCGCAGCTCCTTCTCTTTTCACGGTGTTGAGGAGTTTCCAAGCTTCCGAGTTTCTGCCTCACAGAGAATCTGTGCCTCCTACACTCAACACCTGGTGGAACTGCACATCTGTTGATCTCATTGCAGGAACTACTTCTCAGTGCAACACTGGTGAAAACATTGTTAAAGGGTTAATAGAGGAGCCATGTAGTGATGACTTTCTGAAGGTGAAGTTTCAGAAAAAGCAGGAGTGTTTAAAGCGACAGAGGCCCAATTTCAAGGCTTTAATTACAAAATTAAATATCTTTAAGTCATATTTCATAGATATCACAGTTTTTTTAACAACTTAGTTAACATAATTAGTTGATTGTGCTATAAAAGGCCACTGTATGCATTGAAAATATATAATACTGCCCCTTTAAGGATTATGCCATGTAGCCTTGTTTAGAGAGGACTTTTGCAGAACTGTCTGTATTTTCCTCTCAGCAGATGAAGTTCCAGTTTGTTGCTGAGGAAGCAGAAGTGATGGTCTATCATAGCCTTTAGCTTGGCTCCTGTTTGAACCCTCCTTTTGCATTGGTTTTACTTTTGTGTTTTTTAATTGTTTTCTTAGACTATGTTCACACAGGCAAAAATCTGAAATTTGTTTTTTCCACATTTGAGAATTTCAGACTTTTTCATGAGCCCATGAACCCAGATACACACCTTCCAGTGTGTCTGGTGTTCATTTGGGTTGTTTAATCATGGTTTATGTCGGGATATGAGCAGGACTGACAAGGATAGACATAAAGTGAAAGTAAAATGCAGAAAACTAGATGGCAGAGAGGAAGATCACTGTCAGATGAATTTCTGTTGGCTGAGGAATGGTCAGGAGAACTCAGGTGGGGCTTTAACTTGTCCACAGTTCATGCAGCCCAATCAGCCAGATCAAGATTTTACTGTTCCTACCCAAATGTACTTTTTCAACCTGTACAGTAGCAGAAGTGTAATAAATAATACAGAGGTATCAGGACTACACAGGTCTAATATAACTGGAATTACTCCACCACCACCTAAATAGAGACAGCATCTGATGCAGATCTACGCTAAGCTGCTAAAGACTTGAAAATACATAATACACTGTGTGTGCTAAAAATACAGAAATAATTCATTGCACTTGAGTTTGAAAAACAATGATTACTGCACTAGAAACCATAAACATCCATTGAAGGCAAAAATGTGAGTATTCATGTTATTTACATTGTATAGACTTTAAGGCTAATACTAAGTTAATGTTAAGCCATTTTGTTGTTCATTGGTTAGTTATTAGCAAACACAATCCTGATGATAAATGTCTAATGACTTTTGTTAAGGACTGCTAAATAGATAATAATCAGGCAGCTGAAAGACTAAGTCCAGGTCATATTAACTTGCTGTTGAACCTTTACTTACTGATGAAATCCTGACTACAATTTGGATAAAAACTAGTTAAGAGTGATGACTCTTTTTTATAAGAGAACAAAAAGTATAAAAGTATACTGTATTTCTAAATCAGTTATAATTGGTTGCCTACTTTCTAATTGTAATGATCTCATTCATATTACTTTAAGTTTTAAAATATTTGAAAGTTGAAAAATACTGTAGCAAAATATTTAGCTACTCCAAATGTTTAAATAAGATTTTAGAGTTTTTGAGCCTGAAGTACTGCAAGTACGTTGCACACAGTAATAATCAATCACTTATCATTTGGTAGATTAATGTCGCTTTCCATTATATGTTTCTTCCTACAAGTTCTTTGCTTCCTGATGTATGTCCTACAGTTGATACAACCAAAACACATGTAGTGCTGTTTGGATGTAGTCAGATCACATGACCACAGAGCATTTTCTACGATTTTAAATAATGCTTGGACAGGAAAGAGTGCAGCAGGTCATCTGTGAGGTTACAAGCTTGCTGCAGTTGACTCATGCCTCATTTCCACTGGGCAAGCAGTATAGGATGGTTGGTGCAGTTTGGTAAGCCATTTTGTCGGTTTGCAATGTTAACGCAGCTGAAAAAACAACCTGTGCCGCTCCATTCCCGGGCCTCCTTCATGACAATGGCATGGTTAAGGTGGACTTTCTGGCATCACGCAACACACTACATGGACCTTACCAAGCCCCGCCCAGAAACGCCCCTCGACAGTCCCACGTGGCTGCGTGTCTCACAAACAAAGCCTCGCGGGGCTTAGTTTCTATGTGTAAACAATTGCCTCTTTCGTTTCAACTGACTCTCTACAAAGTATTTCTGAGTCGGCCTTTCTGCCGGATTTTCACAAAATATCAGCCACGACAATGGACAGGGGAACCAACAAGTTCATGTCATTTTTTTTGGACGACATCAAGGTGTTTGAGCCACGCGATGCCTCCAACACTGTGCGAGTCACAGCGAAATGCTACCGGTCGATGAGAAAAACAGCAGATCCTCACACCCTCAGCATAAATATAGCTGTGGACAAGATCACTGATGCCTGTTGTTCTTGCAAGGCTGGGTAAGTTGGGCATTTATGGTTTTGAGGGTTACTTTTGGAATCAGTGATTTCTGTTGTTGGCAAATGTTTGAGTGTCCCTAGGCCTGACACACTGTACTCGGTGCCAGCGTGGCTAACACGATTACAGTTTAGTAAAAAGCCTTTTCAGGTCAAATAAAAATTTTAATGTATGTCAGATACGGTACACATTGCATATTGATCTGTTCAGCTAACGTAAGACTGTAACAGACAGGCTTCAGGGTGTAGAAGTTGGATCGGTACTGCCGTTATGCTGTACTTAGCTAAAAGGTTTTCATAATGGATGTGTTTATTATTGACTTTTTTCAGACTTGGGGGTCACTGTTCACACATCATAGGCCTCCTTAAGACCTTACAATATTTCAAGCTTCAGCATTCAAAAGGGATCGGGAGGTGCTGGTGCCTATCTCTAGCTAACGTTCCGGGCGAGAGGCGGGTCACCCTGGACAGGTCGCCCGTCTGTCGCAGGGCCACTCAAAATATCCCCATTCACTAAACACAAAGAAAGCAAAGTAATACCTACACCAGCACACACTCCTTTGTTTTTATTGATCTTACGACGGTTGAGCTGCAAATGCGGTCGTGCACAAGCTTTGATCCAAGCTAGGCATTCCGTATCAGATTTGGGAAATCTGTGAATTTTATTTCCACAAATACGATCAGGATACCTGACATCGCCTGTACAGATTCCCCACTGACAGTGGAGAACCATTCTTATTTGAGTTCTGTCGCAAAAACTTTGATTGTGTAGATTGTGGTCTGCTAGTCCACAATCTACATTAGCATGTGTTTACTACTTTAGCTTTTGTTTGTGAGACGGTCACGCTTTGTAGCTGCGCTGTGACGTGAAATGGGCATTAGCCAATGAAACGCGGCCCCTGTGGTAAGGTTCATTGTGTGGAGGTGTTGACTGAGGTGTCGCAAATATGGGACAACGCTGTGACCAAAATCTGCATTGA